CAAGGTCCTGAGTTCAATCCCTGGTACTGCAAAGAAAAAAAAATAAAACACCCTTCCTAGGACTGGAGATTTAGCTCAGTGGCACCACACCTGCCTCATAAATGCAAGATCCTGAGTTTGATCCCCAGTACCAAAAAAGAAATGCCCTTCCTGATTAAGTGTCCCTTTCTTTTTTTTTTTCTGTACCAGGGATCAAACTCAGGACTTTGCGCTTGCGAGGCAGGCACTTTGCCACTAAGCTAAATCCCCAGACCCCAATTAAGTGTTCCTAATTAGGAGAAAATTATTCTTTCTCCCTTCTCATAAATCTAATTAAGTGAAAAAGCCATGTTTTTAGTTGCCAGCACACATATATCTACTTTCCAGCCACACAGTATACTGCAAAAAACAAGATAAACACCTTGTTTTTTGTGTTTGCTTTTGTTTTTGTTGTTTTTTTGAGACAGGGTCTCACTATGTAGCCAGATTGACCTTGAACTCAAGGTGATCCTCCCGCCTGGGTGCTAGGCTCACAGGCATGTGCCAGCCACCATGCCCAACCAACACCTTGTTTTAAGGGACCTTCACAGAAAGAGGCTAAGACCTCTACAGGACGACAAAGGGAATGAGTCAGGCCATCCTTTTCCTGCCTCTGCAGCACTGTACTCAGAGCTAGGCACTAGCCTGCACTCGTGTCATCCTATTTCTGCATCCCTACTTCTCCCTCTGAATTACCCCATTTTAGTATGATTACTACATGTTTTAGCTCTAATACACAGCATATCAGAACCAGTGAGAGGAGTCTGACTTTCACAAACTAGTGCTGAGTCAAGTACATTTTACATAAAGATCAAGTATCAAAATGAAATGTTTCATTACTTACTAAATGAGACAGGAATTTGTGGTGACACATCATTAAACCTGACATCAGTGCCACCTAACACTGAAAATACTTTTATAAGCTTGTGTCTTTTTTAATTCTGAAGTAAAAACTACAAAGGGAAATTATGCAAAGTAAACAATACTAATTAGTCTCCCTCCAACAACCAGATATTTCCCCACAGTCATCAAAGAAAACTCTAGCTTAGCTGCCAAACACATTTATTCCTTCACTTAACAAGTATTTCTTGAGCACCTTAGAAATTCTAGACACCAAAGAGCAAATATAAAAATTCTGCCCTCATGAACCTTACAATATATATGAAAACTGAACCAAAGGGGTACCTGTTCCAAGAGAAGAGAGCTTGTCCTCCATAGTTTTTATGGTGGAATTTAACTCAGCTTCCATTTCTTTTTCAAATTCATCTTCACTAGAGGACTCACTTTCTCCAGTAAGACACTCTCTGATGAGCTTTCGTTTCTGGTGAGGGGTTCCATGTAAAAGCACATCCACTTCATCTTCAGAGCTAGCATACATTTAAATGAGAAAGAACATGAATTCTAAATTAGTTGGACTAAGACTTATGGACAGGTACAACAGATAAATCCTCTTTTGCAACCCAGAATCCACTGTTCAGTATGAGTTTTGATACATATAAGAAGGAATAGCAGGCCGGGGATTTAGCTCAGTGGTGCCGCTGCCTGCCTCTCAAGGTCCTGAGTTCAATCCTCGGTACCAAAAAAAAAAAAAAAGAAGAAGAAATAGCATATGGACCAGGCACAGTGTGCATGTCTGTGGTCCTGGCACTCCTGGGGCTGAGGCAGGAGGAACAAAAAAAAGTTTGAGGCCAATGGCCGGGCATTTAGCTCAGTCAGTAGCGCCGCACCTGCCTCACAAGCACAAGGTCCTGAGTTCAATCCCCGGTACCAAACAGGGATCAAACTCGGGGCCTTGTGCTTTTGAGGCAGGCAGCAGAACCACTGAGCTAGATCCCCAGCCCCTTCAAATGTATTTTTTTAATGTTATGTAACCTTTCCTCTTATACATGCTATACATTTCTAAACTATTTGCTGTTAAACAATGAATTTTTTGGGGGGGGTACTGGGGATTGAACACAGGTCCTTGCGCTTGCACAGAAGGCGACGAAACCACTGAGCTAAATCCCCGGCCCATAAACAATGAACATTTTTACATCTGTTATCTTCTTGGGATAAATGCCTAGAATTAGATACAAATATCTTTATGGTTCCTTATATAATCACACTGCTTTCCAAAAATCATTGCACCAATTCGTACTTCCATCAGAAACAGAAAGTTTACTTCACAGAACCAGGAGGTGTTTTCAACTGTAGACATTTTGCTTAGCATACACAAAGCACTAGGTACCATCCCCAGCACCACAAAAAATAAAAAAAATTGTTTATTTACAGTGCTACAGAGAACTGTAAGAAGAGAAAGATAAGGGGTGGGGATGTAGATTAGCGGTAAAGTGCTTGCCTAACATGTGGGGGGGGGGGCAGTGCAAACTGTATTCCAGATTCACCTTGCTTTAACTCAGATTCCCCACCAGCAGTATTACAACAGAATTAAACTAGACATCAGGAGGAATGACATGTTAACAAAATGAAGTGCCTGACATTTCTAACATAATCAGTAGTACATAATAGTCAATTATTAGGATTCAATATTTAATTATGGACTAGTGTATAGCTACAAAGTACAGTGTACCTAGGTTCACAAACTTAAGTCATTCCCACAATTCTGGAAAAGATGGCCACAGTCATGTTTGTCACCATGTTTGCAGAGTTCACAAATAAAAACAAAATTTTGCCAAATGCTTCTATTTGCAAACCAAACTATTTGCAAACAAAAGTGTTTAGGAACCAAGGTACTACTATAATCTGACTTTTATTTCTCTATTTTCTTATAGAACAATGCTCTTGAGGCTCCAGCAGGAGGTAAATCAGAAAAATGCAATCCACATGAGTAAACTTTGCTAATGACTGAGGCCTTAGCCAAAATCTACTCCAAAAAAAATCCCCCAACTGGCAGGTGGACTGGCACCCCGACCAGCATGCTCCCTTTCTCCATTACCACTCTTTTCTCCCAGGCCCTCTTAATTCTGCCTGTGCTGCCATATGCTAAGGATCTCCAGGCCCCCAAACCTTTTCTGTTTTGGTCCACCCTTACTCCTTCCAGGTCATTCCTAAATGACTCTCATCCCATCACTACCCAACTCAGGAGGCTTCCAACTCTCTGAGTACAATACTCAAAACAGCCTTCCACAATCTGGCTCCAATTTATCTTTTCAACCTTACCTCCCTTTGTCTACCTCCACGGTCCCTAAGGGTACATTTAACACGGTTAGAGACATTTTTGATTGTCCCCAGTGGGGGAAGGAGGAGCATGGAGGAGGGCTACTAAAATCTAGTGGACAGAGGCTAGGGGCACTGCTAAACATATCACAGTGCATAAGATATTCCCCAACAAAAAAGAATTATCTCACCCAAAATGCCTGTGCTGCCAGCCTTGAGGAACCCTGATCCTGTATCACAGTGTTACCGAAGGGTGGGAAGTAGATTATTTTAAGTAGCAGCCAAATAAATGGTCAGCCCACTAACACTGAATCCACTCCAGTGCGAATACAAAATGGTGCAGGCACCATGGGAAATAGCTTCGTAGTTTCTTTTTTTTTTTTTTGGTACCAGAGATTGAACTCGGGTCCTTGCGCTTGTGGGGCAGGCGGCAGGCTTGGTAGTTTCTTATAAGATTAAACATCCAACTACTACACAACCAAGCAACTGCACCCCTACGCCATTTATTTCAAAAGAATGATAACTTATGTTTACACAAAAGCCCAGAACTGAATGTTCACAGCTGCTTTATTCACAATTGCAAAACTCGAAACTCAGGTGTCCTTCAATGAGTAAACTGATAAACTGTGGAACACTACTGAGCAAAAAAAAGGGAATGAACTACTAATACATGCAACAACCTAGATAGCTCTCCAGAGAAATATGCTGAGTGAAAAAAACCAAAACCCAAAAGGTTACATAATACATGATTCTCTTCATACATTTCTAAAATGATAAAATTATAGAAAAAGAATAGTGGTTCCAAGGGGCTAAGTAGGGTGTGGAAGTGGAAAGGAAGTGGGCATGACTGTTGAAGAGCAGTAAGGGGGACCTGTGTGGTGGTGGCATGTCTATATTCTGGCTATGATAGTGTACGTAGTTTTTTAGTATCTTAATATTTGGAGGGCCAGGGGTGTAGCTCAGTGGGGTCGTGCCTGCCCAGCAAGCACAAGGTCCCAAGTTCGATCCCTAGTACCCAAAACAAAACAAAACCAAACAACAAAAACATAATATTCGGGGGAACAAGTAAAAGGTACAATATACAGTCTCTACTATTTCTTACAACTGCACGTGAATCTTCAATTATGCCAAAATAGTTTTAAAAAACTGAATCACATGGCAAGAGAATCTCTTTTTGCGAATCTTCTGCAATTCTTGTGATCATTTCGAGACAAGCTTGGCTTTTAGCACTGCTGGAAGAGGCAAAACGTGCTGGTTGAGTATACCAAAAATGCAAAGTTCTGACCACATCACCCAGGCCACTTCTTAGCTCTGTCTTTGCAAAGTGCAACCTTGAAGAACGAGAGAATGCTCCTTCCAGGATAGAGATGGCTTATTCATTTCCTGCTATGAAAAAGGTGGATTTTCTTTCCTTCTTTTTTTTTTAAGGTAGATTTTCTAAGCTTAAGTGTTCTTTAGCCACATGCCAACTCACTACTGAATGTGCAGCATTCACCTAGGACCTTTGGTGCCGCCTCTGTAAGGTCAAGAAATGAGAGCAAGCACAACACGACACTTGCTTATGCCCCAGAAACCTTGTGGCTTCTGCCAGCTCCCATCACACAGTAACAGGCACTAATGTATTAATTAGTACAATCAAATCCAAATAGACACTTCTCAAATACCAATCTTTTTTTTCTTTTTTTGAGCCTGAATCTCACAGCATTGCCCCAAACTGACCTTGAACTTGGAGTTCTCTATTCTCAGCCTCCTGAGTAGCTGGGATTATATATCAATTTCTCTTTTTACAATAACAAGTACTGGGGTCAGGACCTTCAACAGGCATATTAACAACATCGTTTTGTTTTCAAAATCAGCAGGCATTCTGTTTAACCCTGCCTTGTTTTCAAAGTATTTAACAGTCATATTACCGGTGGCAACTATCATAGGATTATAAAGCTTCTTAAAAGAAATGTAATTACAAAAATGTAAGGTCAATTAAGAAAAATATTAAATTAATATCAACGTGCAGATGCAGATGCTCATAACAGTAACTGAAATACAGGAAACACTGTCACAGTATATGCTAATCAAACTGAATTACTGAGGCCTGCATGTACCTCCTTTCACACACAGGGCTCATTAACTGAAATTTTTTCACAGGGTACTCTATAATATCCATTTCCTCGCGCTTTTTTTTGGTACCGGGGATCGAACTCAGGACCCTGCACTTGCAAAGCAGGCGGCGGCACCACTGAGCTAAATCCCTGGCTCTTCCATCCTCACTCTTTACAACAGAAATCTTCACAGCACTGTGATCTTCCATGCCTACAACCTTCCCTCTGAATAATCAGGAAACACTGAGATTGAATAAAATACAGCTTCACAGAAAGCTTCATTGGATAGAATTAATGTTTTAAAGTTTATGGATGGGACCTACAGGCTGCAAAAAACGTAGCTACATGTGTCTGGAAATGTCTTGGCAAGAGAACCTCAAGTTTCCTTCAGATAAGGATAAATCCTCCCTACTGGAAATCTCCACGGGACTTCACTTACGCCCATGTAAGCCATCATTTTCTACAATGCTCTTCCAAGATACAACTTTTAGCTTATTTCCCCTATTCTTTTTTGGTACCGGGGATTGAACTCAAGACCTTGAGCTTGTGAGGCAGGCGGTGGAACCACTGAGCTAAATCCCTGGCCCTCCCCTATTCTAATATAAGCCCATGAAAGCCTAGGATCTTACGATTTACCTCTGCAGCCCAGACCAAACATACAATAGCCAAGAACGCCTATTCAATAGCCCCTTATTAGGCCAGGGATTTAGTTCAGTGGTTCCACCGCCTGCCTTGCAAGCGGAAGGTCCCGAGTTCGATCCCCGGCACCAAAAAAAAAAAATGACTTTGTCCATAGCCCCTTATTTCTCTTTGACAATGGAGTCTTCGGGATGGGCAAGCCAGAGGTTGGGGGTGTAATTCAGTGGGAGAGAGCTTGCTAGGCATGCGCGAGGCCCTGGGGTCGATGTCCAGCACCGCCAAAACAAAAACTTCACATTAAATTCTGTGCCCATTACCATAAGCTTGCAATATATCCCCATACTCAAATTTCCACTTTACAGATGAGAAACCGAGGATACGTGACAGTGGCTCCCTGGGATTCCAGGATAGCCCTCTTTCCCGTGCTGATGTCGGAGCCCTCTCCCGAAGGGCTGCTCTATCCCACCAGGACCCCCCTCCGCCTCCCAAGGGCGACAGACGGGCGCGACAGACGCCCGAACTACCAGCAGGCGCTGCGAGGAGGCGCCCGAAGGCCAGGCCTCAGCACGAAGCCTTGGGGGGCCGGGGAGGAGTGGGGCAGGGCACACCTGCTCAGAGCTGGCTCCTCGTCGCTAGGCTCTTCGACCGCATAGGGGTCGTAGTCGTCCTGGAGCCGGCTCATGGCGTCCCGGAGCGGCCCGCACTGACTCACACACCTCAGCGTCTCTGTTTACTCTGTAGTTACCGCCCCAATACGGCCTCGCGCCACTTCCGCCTGTACTTCCGGGTTCTCACGGCACGCTTGCGCAGACTATCCCCACGCGGAGAGGGGGCAGGGAAGAGACGGGCGAAGGGGACGGGGAGCAGGCGGGGAGGGGACGGGGAGCAGGCGGGGAGGGG